CAGAGGGGAACAGTATAGGTTTTATAGGTATTTTTTGCTGTAATTTGCATTTATTGCTTCTATACTGATCTCCAAATAAACATTTACTTAGGAGTGAATGAACATGTTAACCATACTATTACTTTTTTTTACTATCAATTCCTGCATAACCTTATAAGCGAGTGTTATGAAGGCACAGACAGCATAGTCATTCACGTTTTAGAAAGAGAATGTATTATTTTTTCACTTTTACTGTCTTTTCTAGCTTACAGAGGTGAAAGAAAAATGCAGACATCCAATATGATCTTGCCTAGATATACATTACCAAATGTTTCCAAGCAGCCTGTACCAAGCGAGGCTTCAAGTGATGGAGAGCCTGATGCAACTGAAGATGATGTACAGTGTGCAATTTCCCTTGGTGATGCGCTCATCCATGCAGCACACAAAACTAATGAATGCAACAACTCCACTCCATTATTAACTGCTCCTGAAATTGAAAGTTTTTCAAAAGCGGAGGAAACAGAAATGCATTGCAGTTTTATAAGCATAGAGCATGATCAGCATCAATCGGTGACACCACTGCATGAGAATGGCAACATATGCACAGCCATAAAAGACTCAGGTAAAGATTTCAGTACATGCTTGTTTACCAAGGCTAAAGTATTAAAACACTTAGCAGATTGTTCTAATTACCGTAAACTAATAAAACACAGAGTTATTTACTATGATCTACTGCATTCTATATATTCGTTTTAACTCTTGCCTTTATTTTGGCACTTCCTATATCAAAGTAATATCTCCCTGTTCATGCCCTAATGGAATTCTACTTGTGGAAACAGCCTTTTGCCAAAAATGTTAATTTTGTTGTAAAACCTGCTTTATTACATTTCTAGTTTTCATTTCTCAAAGCTTAGCCATATTCTTTGTATTTTCCCATTTTATATGCAAAATAAATCAGTATTAAAAGGAAACACTGTGACTTACTTCACATATTACTCACAGATATAAATATTGCTCCTAGAAAAAAAACTGTGTCTAGGAGGTGTACTGATATCCCCTGAAAGCTTCACATGAAGTAAGATCCCCATTGTATCTTACAACAACAAAATTTCTCGCTTTGTCATTGGACATCCTTTCTTCCCAGCCAAATGCAGAACTACATCAGTCATCTTTTTAACAAAAGAATGTTTAAAAAACTCTTTGTCCCCAATTACTCCTGTGTGAATGGCTATTTGGCAGCCATGGTTCTGTACTTACCTACTTACCTTCTGATGACCCATCGCTGTTCATTTTCTCTAGCATCTTCTTTTCTCTCCACTGGTGCTGTTTGTTAGAATTTGCTGTTGACCCTGTTGACTTGAATTGGGAATTACACAATAAGACATCAACAGGAGAATAAGTGTCTGAAGGAGAATCTCTTTAGAGGAACTTCTCTGTGCTCATCCTAAATATTTGAGCTGCAAAAGCAAGTGCAATGTTACATACATGCTGTACCCATAAAATATTATAGCATTATGAATATAAAATTTCAAGCTGGGTACACATTTAGTGAATCATGGCCAATTCAGCATTTGATACGTTTGTGGTCCTATCCTCTCGACAGAAGTCGATAATTAGTTTGACTTTTACCAAAGAGACATGCGGGAAAATCAGTGGTCAAACAGTGCTTGCAGCCAGTCAGCTGGCCGTTAGCAGAGTACAATGTACACAGTGGGAGATTTGTTTATCCGCACTGTTAGCATGGATAGAGGAATCTGCCATGTATTTTTCCTTCAGCCTGCAAGGCCGCGTGTACCTAGCTTTAGAGCTGGCCATAGACAGGCAGCTACCTCCCTGAAAGTGGCAGGTGGGTAGAATGGGTCCTAACATACTAAATTGAACACCTGACCAAAATAGTGCTCAAACATAAAACTACAGAATGCTTACTGACATACAGATTAGTTTTCATGTTTCAGGAGACAGTCAACAAATACTGTACATATTCAAACTTGGAAGTAATTACCAGATTTATAATAAACGCTCTGATTGTCTAATCTCTTGTGTAAAAAAAATGTCTGCAGACATGTTTACTTTATTCTGACAGCTTTAATTAACCTTACTATTTTATTTATATGTTTTTGACTAATTAGTAGATGAAGATTCCATTTACAGCAGTGGTGTGAACACAGGAATGCGCAACTTTGGGGAGAGCTGAAAAAAAATAGGATAGAATGTATCGTTACGCAGCGCTGCATGTACTGACTCACTAAACCACATCGCAACACTTCGCAGTAAATAGAGTGGAATTACATTTTGTGACATTTCAATAATGTTTTTAAAAAGTAAAACAGTGCAATGTGTTATAACACCATGCTCACAGCGCACACCAGCAGGCGTTCATTATACAGAACATTAATGTGTGCCTACCGGTGTGTGCTGTGAGCTTGTTGTGATGCATTGTTATTAGTGATGGTCTCGATGTTCGAGTCGATCAATAGTTCGACTCGAACATCGAGACCATCGGCGAACACACGAACTGTCAGGGTGTTCAGTCGGCTGCCGAGCGCCCCACAAGGCACTGCGCACTGCATAGTGCTTTGTGAAGCCCTGATTGGGTAAAACAATGCACCTGGCCACAGGTCAGGTGCCAGTCTCTACATAATCACAGCACAGTGCACTGTGAGAGCCATGATTGGGCAAAATCATAGCTCACACAGCTAAGTCCTGTCAGGTGCTGGACAAAAGTAAACTGTTGAGCGGAGCTGCGGTGGGAGTTCGTCGCGAGCGGACGGGCTGGCGATCGTCGTTTTTGTAAAAAAAAAATTCTATCTTATTTATTTTTTATTTAGTCTAGTCGACGTCGTCATGGGCAAAGCTGAACGTTGTGGTTGACCATGGATTATTTCGGTGGATCCATTTTTTTTTTTTTTAAATAAAAGACTTGTCAAAAACATGTTTTTTAAGTTATTTTTTCAATTAAAGGATTTTTTCAAAAGCCTGGTATTTCTATTTAAATTTATTTTAACCCTTTAGTGAATGGGTAGGGGTACACAAGGGGAGGAGGCCACATCTGGGTGCCCGTTTATTAAAGGGGTACCCACTGGTGAATAAGCCCCCCTGCAACGCCCCCACAACCAACTTGTGAGGAAGAGGCCCTTGTCCCCATCGGCACAGGGACAAGGAGCTTTTCCAGGGGCGACCTGGAAAGCACCCACCCAGTGCCGAGGGCATGTGGCCTGGTATGGCAGGGAGGGGGAGGCCGCTCGCTCGTCCTCTCCCCCCTTTCCTGCCCTGTCAGGTCTGTGCTCAGATCAAGGGTCTGATTGGGAATTTTTTTCCCCATTTTTGGGGGTGGGGTTTCTCCTTAAAATTCCTACCAGATTTTAAATGCCTGGTATGACTTTGAGGGGGAACCCCATGCACTTTTTTTTAATGTTTTTTATATGAGTTCCCTCCTTAATATTCCTACCAGACCTTAAGGGTGTGGTATGACTTTTGGGGGTAAGCCCACACTTTTTTTTTCTTTCTATTTAAATGGTATGGCAGGGAACATTCGTACCAGACCTGAAGGGTCTGGTATTGTTTGGGAGGGGGAACTGCACCTTTTTTTTTCTTCATAAATGGCAGTTTTAGTGCAGTAGGTTCTATACATCGTACAGATGCACCACTTTACAGGCAGTTGAAGGGGAGCACCCCCAGGCATGATATTTAAAGGGATTTTTAATGTTTTTAGTTTCAAAGGATTTTTATTTTATTGAGATGCAAAATAAGCAGTGCACGTACACGGACATTGTGCGCGTGCATATATAATGGTACAGACATTGCCATTGCTATATAACAGATAAGTGCATGTTAAACATGGCATATAGTAAGCAATCGCCTAATCTATATTTGAAAGCGGTAGCAACTTGGAATTTAAAATTTTTATTGTTTCACTTTGAGCAATGTTAAAATCACTGCTCCTTTAAAAACTGTATTTTTAAAAAGTGTTTCTTGGATTGATATATGTCCCCCAGGGCAGTACCCGAATCCCCATACACTTTTTATGGCCAAAACCTTGCATGTAAGACTTCAAAATGAATGGGGACATTTGATTTTCAGAGTTCTGGTCCCATAGACTTTCATTGAGTTTGAATGTTTTCTATGTTCTAAAGTTCGAACTCAAACCGAACTCGGGTGTGTTCGGACCATTACTAATTGTTGTAACACATTGTACTGTTTTCCTTTTTTAAAACTATATTAAAATTTCATAAAATGACATTTCATTCCACTTTATGCATGGCGGAGTGTTGTGATGTGGTGTAGTGAGTCACAACACACTGCACTGTGTACAATACATTCTGTCCTATTTTTTTCAGCTTCAGCTTGGGACCTTAGTCTAAATTTACATAGTCCAAACTTTGTGCAAATTAAAGTGACAATAAACTCAGGAGTTACATCTTAAAAATGCATTCAAGTACCTTAACTATTAACAAAAATTGAGCTTATTTGTACATCACTCAGCTATAGATCCTTAAATCATCTCTGAATTGGTGTTGACACTGTCCTTCCTTCTGGAGGGTGGCTACTTACTATCACACTCCCGTGATGGACTACAATCTCAATACAAATTAGTAAACTAAACATTAGATTATAGTCCATCATGGGAGCGAGCTTGGAGTGGTGACTACTTTACAACACACACAGGGACCATGGGGAACAAAAGTAGTCACCCTCCAGAAGGAAGGACAGTGTCAACACCAATTCAGAGATGATTTGAGGATCTACAGCCGAGTAATACACAAATAAGATACATTTTTGTTAATAGTTAGGGTACTTGAATGCATTTTTCAGATTTAATTCCTGAGTTTAGTGTCACTTAAAGTTTTGCATGAGGAGCATTTGAAGCTAGTAGGCTTTGCCCCGAGTTATCACTAATAAAAAAATAAATAAAACACAGATGGATTGGGGCTACAACTAAAAACAAGACTTTTTTTGTTTTATTTTATTTTGTGTTCCTACTGACCACATATATGAATCCTCCTCTGTATCGTCTTTTCCAGATTTATCTGAGAGAGCTTCCAGTTGCAGCAGTATCTACAAATCTTTCAGTGCATCATTTTCCCAGTTGCACTCATCATTGTCATCCTTGTGTTTCAAGTCTGAGGAAACATTCAAAAACTCCTCTAGCATTGCTGTTACAGTTGACGACAGAAGATCTCCCCAAGCATCAAGTGAATTTGGTAGCAGTGTCCTAAGTCCTGGCCTATACAGTAAGAGTTGCTGTGGTAACACCGACCTTTACCAGGCTTCCTCATATTCAGTGAGAAAATATTCACAGCCATCAGACTGTTCTCCTATTGACAAAATGTGGCATGACCATTTTCTTAATCACTGGCCAGTCCTTCCGCCAATCTCCCCACAAAGAGGTTAATAAATGTTTATTTTTTTCCCTTCTTTCTGATTCCATATGGGCTTGTTCACAGGCTTTTGCTTGTGTGTGTTTGAATACTTGCTTGCCTTGACTGCTGTGAGGCAATTGTTCCACTAATGCTGGCCATCCTCAAATCAATGGCCGCACGCAACAACAGAAAGTGCCTCAGATGTAGTGGTTTCCACAGGTCCTTTGTTAGGCTTTTGTCAAGCATTTTTGAACCTAATAAATAATGTCAAAAGCTTCTATCATGGCCAAAAATGTTCCTTTTCAAACATTTCTAATAGTATTTTTGTTCTGTCATGTCTCCCAGTGTTGCGAAGAATTTGTGCCGCACAATAGGAATGTGCTGTATCGCGTGCCACTCAGGGCATTGTGCCGCTTTTTTTGTGGTGATCTTGACTCAGCAGCTATTTTGTCCTAAGTATTAATGGCCAACAACATCTAATTGCATGATGCACACTCCTGTCTAGCGGCATATTTTTCTTTTTTGCCTGTGTGGGACAGTTGTTTTGGAGCTCATCAGAAATTAAATGATTAGAGATAAAGTTGTGAATGTTGTGAAATTGATTTTGCATCATGTCCCAGAATCTAAAAGGAGCATGCAGCAAACTTATAGTTTATCTAAACCCAAAAGCCAAAAAAGTTGTGAATGTTGTGAAATTGATTTTGCATCATATCCCAGAATCTAAAAGGAGCATGCAGCAAACTTATAGTTTATCTAAACCCAAAAGCCAAAATGTAATATACTATATATAGCTTACCTATTCTTATGTATGGTGGTTGTATTAGTTTTCTTTTTTTAGGCTTTATTTCTTAGCTACCTTTAACAGACCACGCTGATTTGTAAAAGTGGCAGATAGAAGGTTGAGATAAACCATTTAACTCTGATAGGGGAGCCTACAATGGTTGGCTTTTATTCATTTATGTAAAACCAATATCCCAAAAGGAAAAAAATTAAGTGTTAGCTGAAGTTAAGATTTAATTTGTTAGTCCATCAAAATCATCTAGTCCATCACACACTACCCTCTCCACAGGTTGACAATGCTGCAGTCTAAGGGTGGCTCTGTTGCTCCTCCATAGAGAGGAAACAGTGAGTGTGTTACAGGCCTGAGCATCAGGTGAAAATAAAGGAAAAAAGCCTAAAAAATAAAGTTAATGCAACCACCCTATTTACCTGCATTATATAACATTTTTATTTTTTGGATTTAACTGAGCCAGAAAGCCAGAAATGGCTAATAATATATATCTGTAAAAAATAAGTAAAGGCAACTGGACTTGCTGTATTTTTCTTGAAGACGTTTCACTGGTCATCCAACCAGCTTTCTCAATTCAGAATGACTTGAACAAAAAATTATCTGGGAATAAATAAGGTGAATGTTGCTCCAATCCACATAATATGTTAGTCACAACCAGGTGTTGATTGTATTTGCATAATTGGGGTCTAGGAGGTGTTATTAACCTGCCCAGAGAGAGGTGTTAAAACAGCATTGTATGTGGCAGACAATAGATGTGTCACCTCCCCCACTTCTATTCAAGATTGGCTTCTCCATTTTTACATAAATGGCCTCTTTCACACCTCTTTGAAACCTCCTCCTAGACTCCAAATTATGCAAATGCATCAACACCTGGTTGTGACTAACATATTATGTGGATTGTGAGCAACATTCACCATATTTATTCCCAGATCATTTTTAAAGTCATTCTGAATTGAGAAAGCTGGTTGGATGACCAGTGAAATGTCTCCAAGAAAAGTACAGCAGGTCCAGTTGCCTTGACTTATTTTTTACAGATATACCATGACCTGGATGAATGAGAACCTTCACAGACAATAATGTATATAGCATAAAACTGTTTGCACTATGGTACACAGGGAATGTAACAAGTTATATTAACCCTTTCGCTGCCAAGGACGTATGGCATACGGACCTACAAAAGTGCTTCCAGCTGGCCAGGTCAGTATGCCATACGGACCTGGCATTTACAGTTCTACTATAAGCTGATGGTCGCTTTAGCGACCATCAGCTTATAGTATAACTGTTCAGCAGACTGTTCCCTTTAAATTAATAGCTGTCATCAGCGGCTCATGAGCCGCTGATGAC